CATACCGAGTTTTCTCAGGAGCGGCTACGAGATTCTAGCCCCACCACAGAAATATTGGTATGCGCGCATACCGAGTTTTCTCAGGAGCGGCTACGAGATTCTAGCCCCACCACAGAAATATTGGTATGCGCGCATACCGATTTTGATCAGCCCGAACCTGCAGCTTCAACGTGACCACAGAAATATCGGTATGCGCGCATACCGATTTTCTCAGGAGCGGCTACGAGATTCTAGCCCCACCACAGAAATATTGGTATGCGCGCATACCGATTTCTCAGGAGCGGCTACGAGATTCTAGCCCCACCACAGAAATATTGGTATGCGCGCATACCGATTTCTCAAGAGCGGCTACGAGATTCTAGCCCCACCACAGAAATATTGGTATGCGCGCATACCGATTTTTCTCAGGAGCGGCTACGAGATTCTAGCCCCACCACAGAAATATTGGTATGCGCGCATACCGATTTTGTCAGCCCGAACGCTGCAGATTCTAGCCCGACCACAGAAATATCGGTATGCGCGCATACCGATTTTTCTCAGGAGCGGCTACGAGATTCTAGCCCCACCACAGAAATATTGGTATGCGCGCATACCGATTTTCTCAGGAGCGGCTACGAGATTCTAGCCCCACCACAGAAATATTGGTATGCGCGCATACCGATTTTGTCAGCCCGAACCTGCACGGATTCTAGCCCGACCACAGAAATATTGGTATGCGCGCATACCGATTTTTCTCAGGAGCGGCTACGAGATTCTAGCCCGACCACAGAAATATTGGTATGCGCGCATACCGATTTTTCTCAGGAGCGGCTACGAGATTCTAGCCCCACCACAGAAATATTGGTATGCGCGCATACCGATTTTGATCAGCCCGAACCTGCAGCTTCAACGTGACCACAGAAATATCGGTATGCGCGCATACCGATTTTTCTCAGGAGCGGCTACGAGATTCTAGCCCCACCACAGAAATATTGGTATGCGCGCATACCGATTTTCTCAGGAGCGGCTACGAGATTCTAGCCCCACCACAGAAATATTGGTATGCGCGCATACCGATTTTTCTCAGGAGCGGCTACGAGATTCTAGCCCCACCACAGAAATATTGGTATGCGCGCATACCGATTTTTCTCAGCCCGAACGCTGCAGATTCTAACCTGACCACAGAAATATTGGTATGCGCGCATACCGAGTTTTCTCAGGAGCGGCTACGAGATTCTAGCCCCACCACAGAACTATTGGTATGCGCGCATACCGAGTTTTCTCAGCCCGAACCTGCAGCTTTAACGTGTCGACAGAAATATTGGTATGCGCGCATACCGAGTTTTCTCAGGAGCGGCTACGAGATTCTAGCCCCACCACAGAAATATTGGTATGCGCGCATACCGATTTTGATCCGCCCGAACCTGCAGCTTCAACGTGACCACAGAAATATCGGTATGCGCGCATACCGATTTCTCAGGAGCGGCTACGAGATTCTAGCCCCACCACAGAAATATTGGTATGCGCGCATACCGATTTTGATCAGCCCGAACCTGCAGCTTCAACGTGACCACAGAAATATTGGTATGCGCGCATACCGAGTTTTCTCAGGAGCGGCTACGAGATTCTAGCCCCACCACAGAAATATTGGTATGCGCGCATACCGATTTTGATCAGCCCGAACCTGCAGCTTCAACGCGACCACAGAAATATCGGTATGCGCGCATACCGATTTTTCTCAGGAGCGGCTACGAGATTCTAGCCCCACCACAGAAATATTGGTATGCGCGCATACCGATTTCTCAGGAGCGGCTACGAGATTCTAGCCCCACCACAGAAATATTGGTATGCGCGCATACCGATTTTGATCAGCCCGAACCTGCAGCTTCAACGTGACCACAGAAATATCGGTATGCGCGCATACCGATTTTCTCAGGAGCGGCTACGAGATTCTAGCCCCACCACAGAAATATTGGTATGCGCGCATACCGATTTTCTCAGGGCGGCTACGAGATTCTAGCCCCACCACAGAAATATTGGTATGCGCGCATACCGATTTTCTCAGGAGCGGCTACGAGATTCTAGCCCCACCACAGAAATATTGGTATGCGCGCATACCGATTTTGATCAGCCCGAACCTGCAGCTTCAACGTGACCACAGAAATATCGGTATGCGCGCATACCGATTTTTCTCAGGAGCGGCTACGAGATTCTAGCCCCACCACAGAAATATTGGTATGCGCGCATACCGATTTTCTCAGGAGCGGCTACGAGATTCTAGCCCCACCACAGAAATATTGGTATGCGCGCATACCGATTTTGATCAGCCCGAACCTGCAGCTTCAACGTGACCACAGAAATATCGGTATGCGCGCATACCGATTTTCTCAGGAGCGGCTACGAGATTCTAGCCCCACCACAGAAATATTGGTATGCGCGCATACCGATTTTCTCAGGAGCGGCTACGAGATTCTAGCCCCACCACAGAAATATTGGTATGCGCGCATACCGATTTTCTCAGGAGCGGCTACGAGATTCTAGCCCCACCACAGAAATATTGGTATGCGCGCATACCGATTTTTCTCAGGAGCGGCTACGAGATTCTAGCCCCACCACAGAAATATTGGTATGCGCGCATACCGATTTTCTCAGGAGCGGCTACGAGATTCTAGCCCCACCACAGAAATATTGGTATGCGCGCATACCGATTTTTCTCAGGAGCGGCTACGAGATTCTAGCCCCACCACAGAAATATTGGTATGCGCGCATACCGATTTTTCTGAGGAGCCGCTACGAGATTCTAGCCCCACCACAGAAATATTGGTATGCGCGCATACCGATTTTTCTCAGGAGCGGCTACGAGATTCTAGCCCCACCACAGAAATATTGGTATGCGCGCATACCGATTTTCTCAGGAGCGGCTACGAGATTCTAGCCCCACCACAGAAATATTGGTATGCGCGCATACCGATTTTGATCAGCCCGAACCTGCAGCTTCAACGTGACCACAGAAATATCGGTATGCGCGCATACCGATTTTTCGAGGAGCGGCTACGAGATTCTAGCCCCACCACAGAAATATTGGTATGCGCGCATACCGATTTCTCAGGAGCGGCTACGAGATTCTAGCCCCACCACAGAAATATTGGTATGCGCGCATACCGATTTTTCTCAGGAGCGGCTACGAGATTCTAGCCCCACCACAGAAATATTGGTATGCGCGCATACCGATTTCTCAGGAGCGGCTACGAGATTCTAGCCCCACCACAGAAATATTGGTATGCGCGCATACCGATTTTGATCAGCCCGAACCTGCAGGCTTCAACGACCACAGAAATATCGGTATGCGCGCATACCGATTTTCTCAGGAGCGGCTACGAGATTCTAGCCCCACCACAGAAATATTGGTATGCGCGCATACCGATTTCTCAGGAGCGGCTACGAGATTCTAGCCCCACCACAGAAATATTGGTATGCGCGCATACCGATTTTCTCAGGAGCGGCTACGAGATTCTAGCCCCACCACAGAAATATTGGTATGCGCGCATACCGATTTTGATCAGCCCGAACCTGCAGCTTCAACGTGACCACAGAAATATCGGTATGCGCGCATACCGATTTTTCTCAGGAGCGGCTACGAGATTCTAGCCCCACCACAGAAATTTTGGTATGCGCGCATACCGATTTCTCACGAGCGGCTACGAGATTCTAGCCCCACCACAGAAATTTTGGTATGCGCGCATACCGATTTTTCTGAGGAGCCGCTACGAGATTCTAGCCCCACCACAGAAATATTGGTATGCGCGCATACCGATTTTTCTGAGGAGCCGCTACGAGATTCTAGCCCCACCACAGAAATATTGGTATGCGCGCATACCGATTTTCTCAGGAGCGGCTACGAGATTCTAGCCCCACCACAGAAATATTGGTATGCGCGCATAACGATTTCTCAGGAGCGGCTACGAGATTCTAGCCCCACCACAGAAATATTGGTATCCGCGCATACCGAGTTTTCTCAGGAGCGGCTACGAGATTCTAGCCCCACCACAGAAATATTGGTATGCGCGCATACCGATTTTGATCAGCCCGAACCTGCAGCTTCAACGTGACCACAGAAATATCGGTATGCGCGCATACGGATTTTTCTCAGGAGCGGCTACGAGATTCTAGCCCGACCACAGAAATATTGGTATGCGCGCATACCGATTTTGATCAGCCCGAACCTGCAGCTTCAACGTGGCGACTGTGTATTAGATCTGTAGGCTCTGCAACAAACATTTGCATGTAGCTGGATGCATTCAACTGCATCCAAGAATATCGGCATTTGCTGCCCCTTGGATTTTGTTGGCGCTAGGCCCTAGGATTTGGCGCTCATCTTTCTGGTATGTAGACGTTTACGGCCGCAATAGGTCTAATTACAAGGTGCTGTTGCGGCGGCTGCGCTGCCCCTTCTGTTGTGTTCCACAGCAAAAGCTGTGAGTTTTGGCAAGTGTTTTCCAGCAAGCTCAACTAGCTAAATTGCGCCAAATTTTGGGTCATTTATGGGGTTGTTATGTTTAGACAGTAGCCATGGATTAAATGCCGCGACGCGATTGGCCACTTCCCAGGTCTTGGCAAGAAACCTATCCTCTCGTAAAATCTCGATTATGTCTGCAATTTGCAGATGACGGCCCTCGTAGACACACATATCCGGATAATGGCACCCGCTCGGTGTAAACCGTCGGGAGTTACGTGAGTATCAATTCTCCGGGCTCCGATCACCACTTTTAGGACAGCCTTCCTCGAAGTCCGCGTGCTTCTGACCGGGGCGTTCAGAGGAGTCCACCGCACTACGCTTTGTCTGTCTCTGGGAAACGATTTCGTCTAATTGCCCGTCAGCCACGACACTCTCAACACGGTAAGTTTTTTGGGCCCTAACACGCAAAAACTCGGTTCGAAAATTGGTGCTGGCTATTCTTAAAAGATCGATTAAGGAGGAGGTAATACAACTGGCGTGTCCTCGCACCCCGGCCGAGTACAACATGGAAATCACATTGTGCGTTGCACGGATCCCGTATTTACTGATTTGCGCCAACCAAATTACGGTGGGTTTGACTCCGGGGTTCGGTGCAACTTTCTTAAAAATCTTGGATAACATAGCGCGCTTTTTAGGTATCGTGGACTGATCACGATTACCCGATGCTCGTCTGGGGCAACTATCTGTTCAAAACCACGGACGGTGAACAGTGGCTGACCATCCAGCAGAAAAAGTTGTGTCTCGACGACGAGCCACTCCCATTTGGTCTCATTCCCGGTTTGGATTCAGGCCCACTAATAACAGCATATTAGAAAAGAACACTCGTGCTTTATACATCAACAACACGATGGCCCTCTTCCTGATCGCCGACAATCACACGGCCAGCAATGTGATCCTCGATCAGCCGCCCGGTGACGCTGATTATGCTGTGGGTATTAGGCGGCGTCCTCAGGAAATGCGTCCAATTTCAGGTACGCCGCAAAGGTGGATTGTATGAGGGACGTGCGACCCACATTCGCCGGTCGGGTCAGCTACTCTACCGCGACGGCAATAATCTGCTGAGCCTCAAAGTAGTTCCGAAATTCGACCCCAAATCTCATGCACTTACAGCCGGGCCAGAATCCCGATCGGCTCGAACCGGTCAACTTCTTCTGCCAGGGAATAACAATTGTAGGCCAATCTTGTACAAGTATGATCAATCATTTCTAGTTCAAAACCGGAATCCAACTTGGCGCCAATATGCCCTCGGAAACGGACAGGTATGGTCTTCTAAGAATCAGCAATGGCGAAAACTTAGGGTGGCCGACGGGGCGCTATACAAACATCGGTTGCGCATGGTTGACTGGAACGCAGCCAATCTAGACGATGCGCAGCAAATTGTTTTAGAGGTGGAAGGGCTAAAATGGATACATCATTTGCTATTCGACGTTAAGGTAGTGAATCCATGACATTCACCAATGCGCCCATACATTCAGGGCCAAAAGCTGACCCCGCCGAAGATGGGCTGACCGTCGAGGAACTACAAGAAGCACTTCTGTCCGCAATTTAAAAAAAACATACCTCGATCTCGCAACGGTACTCTAATCTCCACAATATCGATCAATTTCAGTCCGTCTACTTCACCGCCAAACAACGATGCTATCAAGCCGCGCTTCTTCGGGATGTTGTTCATCTTCACCATCGCAGCCAACCGCCTGGACATCTGACGACAAAATGCCATCAATTCCTATTGATGTTTATGTCAAAGATGTTGATAATGATCAAAAATGAATAAATTGTACCTAAACATGTATTTGTACCTAAACAAAGTTTTGCTTGAGTTATTTTGTTAAAGTGCTCTATAAAGTACTCCAGTTGTCAGTGTTGTATGCTAGCTAAGCATGTCGGCCGATGTATTCACGTATTACTTGACAGTTTAACGGGTTAGAGCGTATTGACGGCTACAAGTATTCAAGTAGCAAGTAACTAGTCTGAACAATAGCATTGAAGCATTGAATGGGGACGCAGACAAAGCTTGGTTTTCTTTTGTTAATTAGGTAGTATATTATTAACTCGTATATATTACGTTGTAATACCAAAAAAAAGTTGGTTCCCCCCTGATGAAACTTCCTCCGAACCGATAATGAAGTTTTGCAACGTAAAATCCTCGGTTTTATTGTGAATAAACCCGCTAAAATGTGTTGACTGCTGAACTTTACTAATTGCCAGCACTAGACTTGACTTTAACTATAAGACACGTTGTAAGGGTTAAACTGCTAAGCACATGACGTAAATACATCGCGTGTGACGTAGTTAGTTAGTATAATACCATGCAAACGTGGCGGGATAGCCATTATAATGAGTGAAACAAGTATTCCGTGCTAAAACGTCTGTTTTAATATAAAAATGACCACTAAACTACGTGGGTTACATTACTTTGGCCGTAGGATTAGTTATAGGACGCTAAACTATCAAGTATGCATCAATATTACGTAAATATACCCTTAAAAAACATAATTTAAATGGCTGCTCGAACTTTCCAAATCTGCTCGAACTTTCCAAATTTGCACGAACGCTCGAACGCTCGAACTTTCCAAATTTCTTACACAAGCTACTCTCATTTCATAGATCAAAGGAACGAATTGCAAAACTAATTAGAATATAGTCTTATTTTAGAATATATATTTGTAGATATTCATACTCTGCATCTCGCCCACATATCTGGCCATTTGTCACCCAAACCGGGTCCAAATATTCGCTATCTATCATACTCTTTGGGTAGCGCCGTTCTGTACGGTATGTGGGCGTGCACGTCAAGAATATGAGTAATTACAGCCGGCGCCAGGTGGTCATCGTCCTCTCTAGAACGTTCCCATCCACTACACGCCCACCAATTACTATAAGTAAATTTCTCCGCGGTATCATACCATGGTAGTCAAAGGTCTTAAAATAGGATAGCAGCTGCCACTGTGCTAAATACAGAAATTTATATTAATATAAAAAAATAGTGTCTGTGTGTGTGTGTGCATTTGCATGCAACTTCCGTCTGGGTGTACCAGCAAAAGCGGATTGGGGGAGAAAATTTAAGGTAGGTATCATACCTCATTTAAGGTATGTATCATACCAGCAAAAGCGGATTGGGGGGTAAATTTAAGGTATGTATGGTCTTGCGATGACTGCACACATATCAAATGTCAGCAAAAGTGCTATTTTCGATATTAAAATTAAGATTTTGTAAAAATCTCTTTGACCCTCTTTGTTAGAAATCAATTAACATACGCCGGAAGTGGCGGTAGCCTATATAACGGGAGCGCGGGAGTAATTGTCATTTTTTTTCTCATTGCGATTCATGAAAAAAGGTGATAGTCGGAATCTCGAAACTTCTGAATCTCGAAATTTCGGAATCTCGAAATTTCGGAATCTCGAAATTCCGGAAATATTAGCAGATTCCTGGAAGCAAAACTATTATGTATCCAAATTTTTCAGATACAAATACAAGATTTCCGATAAAACGAAAAGTAGACCCTCTAAAAAAGGTGTTTATCAACTCGTCGTTTCAAGGGCTTTCGGATGGTATGACTATCATCCCGATCCGACGCTTCTCCGTCGAGTTAGAGGGGGTCTACTTTTCGTTTTATCGGAAATCTTGTATTTGTATCTCAAAAATTTGGATACATAATAGTTTTGCTTCCAGGAATCTGCTAATATTTCCGGAATTTCGAGATTCCGCAATTTCGAGATTCCGAAATTTCGATATTCCGAAATTTCGAGATTCCGACCCCTACCCCATGAAAAAATATGCAAAGCATAGAATAACATTCCTTCTAGACGGGCCCCGGGTTGAAAAGTCGCGAAGCGGCTTTTCAACCCTGGTTTATATTAATTTGATACCTGGGTTGAAGAATGTCTCTAAAATCCAAAATCAGACCCTCCGAGAGCACTCCGACACCATGGCCAAACTTGCTTATCGAGCCCCCAATTATGTCCCTTTTTAGGCATGGTTGTCGTGTAAAGCCGGCTATCGGCGATGACAATCGAAACGATCGCGCCAGCTCGCGTGTTCCCCTCCGGACAGAAGTGGGTTTGGCTAAAAGCTAGGAAACTCCCCCAGCCGACTTTTCAACTTTTCTACCTGCCTTATTTTTATTTTTTTATTTTCCTAGACTCTTACCGTGGTTTTCAGTTTACGGCGCTTCTGATTTTGAATTACAGGACGCAACAGCTGACGGTGCGACTGCGACTCGGGGCAAAGTTGATCTCCCTCCTGGATGCCACCCTACGTGTCTCTTTGTGGTCGGACTTCACGTACAGGGTGTCCCAAAAAAAAGTGGCCAAGTTTGTCCCCAATTATCTCGAGAAGGAAACATATTTACAGAAAAAGTCAAAATATACCCGACTTTGAGGCGACGTAAAAAAATTTTCGAGGGTTTAGTAGGCCCGACTTTTCTGGCATAGATCAAGCTTGGTTAGTCAACTAAAACGCATGCAAATACAAATCCTTTTCATGCCAAACGAATTTAGAAGAGCACCCCAAAGTCGACTTTTCAAAAAACGTCATTTTCGGGTTTTAAATCAAAATGAACCATTAACTTCAGCCAGATCATTCCAGAATCTTGTTCTCATGCGCAGTTCGATGCGTGCTTTAATTGTATCCACCAAACCCCGGTGCCTTTTTCATTTTCAAAAATTCGATTTTCAGCCCGGGGCCTAGGGTCCAAAATCGGGCCACGAGGGGGGGGTTTTCCTCTTTCCTTCATAACTTTGTCATTTGCCACAGGAATCAAGTAATTTTTTGTAGGTGCTCTTACAATCACCCAGAGAACAGTCTAGAATCGAAAAACCGTCATTTTATGGAATTTTTTCTTGGCATGCTAAAACGCGCTCCAGGCGGGTTACTGTAGAAAACAGAAAATCGCCGTTTTCTCGTTCGTTTCACCATAGAAACGTTTCGATCTTTCAGGAAAACAAATAATAGTAGTTTTTAGTCCGATGCGTCGAAATATTTAGAAATTTCCGTGGCTAAATTCGAAAATAAGTTTTTGACCTATTTTGGGAAGGTGTATGGCTAGAACTTCGTGATATTTTGCCCATGGCTGCCCCTTACCATTGTTTACCGATGATAAAATTTCGAGCAAAATCGCAGCTTACAATAAAAAGAAAAACGCGAAAAACAAAAACTACAGTATCCCTCTGGGGCACGTTTTAGCAAGCAATATTAAAATACCATAGAATCAGGTAAAATTTGGTGTTGTGCTAAAGATTATCATTCGGAGACACCATCTGCAAAAGATCAGCCATGGGCAGCGTATTTGAAGCGAGTTACGAATTAAAAAGTAAAAAATAAGGAAAATAGGGAAATTTATTTTGCCTGTAAAAAAAAAGAACTAAACCTTCAAAAATTCTAAGACTTTGCTATTATTTTTCTACAAATGTCAACTATTTTTCGGCCAAAAATCAGAATTTTCCCACCAGCCGTTCAAGAGCGCACAATTTTCGGTCGTAATCAGCGTCAATAGTACAGTTGCGTACTCAAAAATCGAAAAAATCAAGTTGAGTTATTTCCCTATTCCTGACATATTTAAGCATTCTGGCATGGTAACGCACGGTGAAATATGTTTCCTTCTCGAGATAATTGGGGACAAACTTGGCCACTTTTTTTTGGGACACCCTGTACAGGCCGTTGGACGAAAATATGATCGATTCGGTCAGTATTCTTGAATTTATGAAAGCACCGAAAAAATTGGGCCCGTCTTTTATTAGAAGGATCTTGACGAAAAGCTAATTTTGCAAGCAGGATGTATTGATTCCATTTCAAGAGACGTTGGTCGAGCTAGCGGCCCCATTCAATACTGGCCGCTTTACCCTCGAGCTGGCCGTTTGTTGTGGCAAGATTCCGTTCTACGTGTTCCACGCTAACAACATTTCTGTGGGTTTCACTCCGCTCACTTGACCAATAACTGTCTTTAAAATTATTCTCGTCACGTCGGATGCGGTTTAGGTCACGAAGACCAATGAGGAGTATCCTGTGTGTATTGGACGTTTCTTCCTTCTGCGCGCCTCTGGCGGGGGTTTCTTGAACATTGCCGACCGTCGACTACAGATCGGCGAGCCGCCTTCTTCATCAAAACAGGTTTGCAAAAAGAACCGACGAATAATCGAATCATAGAGAAGCCAACGCGCGCCCTCTACTGCACCTCGGTCCGTGAACTGGCGTTGCAATATGTCGACGGTGTTATTACGCAAATCCTCCTAGAGCATCCGCCGCGAAATCCTAACTATGCGGTTGGCGACAAGTCAAAGAATACGAGCAATTCTAGGTGAGACGCACTAAAGGTCTCTACGAAAAACCGACACCTTCCTTCGGCGCAAAGGACAACTTCTGTATGAAGACATGGGGCGCGTCCAGAGTCTCGAGGTAGTCCCGAAATAACGCGAAAATTGATGGGACCCTAGGATGCCGAAGTGGACGCCGAAGACCCGGCGAGTTTCCAGTTTGAGGGTGTATCGATGGTAGGTAGATGCTACACATATATGAGCGCCGTTTTAAGTTTCGCACGGCCATCTCTTCAACACCTACACCCGGAAATATGCTGCATACCCTTCCAATCATCACACTGCCCGATGGGCGTCTTCATGTCACCACGAAACTGGAGGATTGTCGAATGGAGATCGGATCAATTCCCGGACAGCTGCTCGCAAAGTATGACTTTCTAGGACAAATCAATGATTAAAATTTAGGACCTACAACGGATCCAACTACTGTCACGTCTACGCGCTGCCACTGCCGAACGGCGGTGACCTGGATGACGTCATGTCGATCGTCTTGTTCATCGGCGACTACAAGGTCCTCCATCACCAACTCGTCGACATTGTGGTACTGCACCAATACGACTCGCTAATACAGAATATCTTCAGAGGAAGCGTCTCGTCGACCCAGTCTTCGTTTGATGGACTACTCGTGTGCAACAGATATTTACAGTCGTGGCTCAATGGCTCGCACCGCTTCCGAATTGATATTAATCTACCAAGAGAGCATCTCGAACCTGTCGTCCTGTGAATAAAAGATATCATGTTACACCTACAATATTACGGCTTGCAAAGAGAGCGAAGAAAAACGGCATTAGAGCTTATTCAGAACTTTTACAAACATTGGGTTCCGCCGTCCAGAGAAACACTAGTTCATTCTTTTCCGACATCGGCCTTATCCGTTAACTTCATTTGTAAAACTTTATTCTCTTTCTTTTTAACTTATACACTCACACATCTACAGTCTACAGGAACAATACAAAAAAAAGAGGAAACAAGGATAAGAAAAAAGTGTGGTCGAGCTGGGCAATGGTAATAATACAAAATTTAGATGGATAGATTATCAGGAATGTATCAAAATTCGCGCGGGAATTCCATAGCCAAAAACTGGATATCACAAATTGTCAGTGACAAGCTATTTCGGGGTGTGCAGGGGGTAATTGATTACGACATAAAATTCCGGGGATACGATTCACAACTATACACAGGGCTACAACCTACAGTAATCACGGAATAGAGGGGCAAGTGCGGGGTTCGAGATGGAGAAGGATCGAATTTTGAGGGGGTGGTGGCGAGAGATTGTGAGAGACAGAGAGGGCGCAGAGAAAAAGAGCTACCTTTTTACTGCTTATCTCCGCCGGCTCCTCCACGTGGGTAGTACTTGTCGAGGGTCGACTCGGGGATACGCTTCAGCATCTCGCGGGGGAAGATGCGCAGCAGTTGCCAGCCAATGTCCAGCGAGTCGAACACTGTCCGGTTCTCGTAGTTTCCTGGAAAAGCGCAGAAAATTATTTTGTCGTAGAAAAGGATTTTAGACCGGCGGAAAAGGATTTTAGACCGGCGGAAAAGGATTTCAGACCGGCTGGAAGGCTTCAAAATCAACTGCCCGCGCAAAAATAGGCCTTGAAAACTACGCGCCACACCAAATGACTCCTGGAAATCAGCTAGCGTGGAAGGCCTTCAAACCTGCCCCGGAAATAGACCTAGAAACTGACGTGACGTGCCAAATGACGCCTGGAAAACGGTTAGCTTAGCTAGTATCGTCTAAAAATTCAGTTTTCGAACCCTGTAATCAAAAATAAATAGGAATGCAGAAATCATGTTTTCAAAAGAAGGAAAGCTTCTCAAGCAACACCCTGAAAACTACGCCGCAGACCAAATGACGCCCGCAAATGACCTTTTAAAGCGGCAAGAAGGCCCCAAAATCGGCCCCGGAAAACTAGGCCTCGACAACTGCGCTTCACACCAAATGACGCCAGCAAATCCTTTGTTTTATGCCGAAGTGCCCAGCATAATGCGCCATTAGTGTACAGCGTAGCCATCGAGACCTAGCAGCTTCAGGGGTCGATTTTGGAACCTCCCAGCCGTTTAAAATGATAAAAAGGCATGGCGACAGCTCTACAAAAATCGCTGAAATTCAATCGTTACCTTGGGCGATGAAGTTCTTCTCGAACTTGATGAGGAACTCGAGGTAGAGAAGATCGTCAGCCGACAGGGCTTCCTCTCCGACGACGGCCTTCATCGCCTGCACGTCCTTGCCGATGGCGTAGCAAGCGTACAGCTGGTTCGAGACGTCCGAGTGGTCCTGGAAAAACATAGATAAAAATGTGATTTAATCTCCTCCGACAATCAATTTCAATATTGTCAAAAAGGCAAATAAAATGAGAATAACAGAATCGAGCAAGAAAAACGCACTTCTCGGGTCATGCCCTCTCCAATAGCCGACTTCATGAGACGCGACAGCGAGGGGAGCACGTTGATTGGTGGGTAGATCTGGAAAAAGGGAATTAGATCTCGTAATGTAATGCAATACCTGTCTGTTGTGCAACTGACGATCGACGTAGATCTGTCCCTCCGTAATGTATCCCGTAAGATCGGGGATAGGGTGAGTGATGTCTGAAAAACGATATAATTCAAAAATACGACTAAAAATTACCGTCGTTGGGCATAGTAAGGATGGGAATCTGGGTGATGGAACCGTCACGACCCTCGACACGACCGGCACGCTCGTAGATGGTGGCCAAATCGGTGTACATGTATCCGGGGAAACCACGACGACCGGGCACCTCTTCACGGGCGGCAGACACCTGGAAAGATAGGATTCGTAAAATAAATAAAAGTCAATGGAAACGCTGCAAATTTGCAAAAACGCCGGTTTGATAAAATTCGGAAATCAGAATTCAGGTAAAAGCCTTTCAAAAGTCCTAAATCAAAAAAAAAATCGTATTTCACTACGTTACGACTTTTAACATGGTTTTTGGACGAAATAAACGATTTAAACCGATGGATCAATTTGGATTTAAAACCTAAACTTCAAATGGCTGAAAAACTGAGAAAGACTTGTGGAAAGGCCTAAAACATACAAAACTCCCGTTTTACAAAATTTAGGGCTTCAAAACACGCTTTTGACGGTGAATCAAGCCACAATTTCAATATAGAAAATTTAACTGTATGACCAAGATTAAATAAACGGTCTTAGAACTAAAAACGAAAGACCGGAAAACGGCGAAACCTGAAAAACCGCGAAAAACACGTTTCATCAAAGAAAGAAATTTCAAGTCTATTTTTCGTGTGACAAAATGCCAACAGAAATGCCGCAAATTTGAACGGCTCGAGGAGCGAGGCAGAAAGTATGTGTCAACTGCACGCCATTCTCCAGTATACGGACCTCACGCAGAGCCTCAGCGTACGAGGACATGTCGGTCAACACGACGAGCACGTGCTTCTCGCATTGGTAGGCGAAAAACTCGGCGGCGGTGAGGGCGAGACGCGGGGTGATGATACGCTCGATGGTCGGGTCGTTGGCCAAGTTCAGGAACAGGCACACGTTTTCCATCGAACCTAAAGAAAGCCGTAAAACGTTGAGGGATATCTCAAACCGTTCTCCTCGAAATCCTGCTTGAAGAAGCGGGCAGTCTCCATGTTCACACCCATAGCGGCGAACACGATGGCGAAGTTGGCGTCCTCGCCGGTGCCGTGCTTGCGCTCCGAGGCGGGCAGCTTGACGAGACCTAGAAAAGAGGGTTTTGGTGCGCATTTTAAATCTGAAGTCATTTTTTACAAATTTTCTTCCTTTTTTGGAGCCGTGAAAACTGGCTATTCCCTAGAATTTCAGAAAAAATAGCTCGATTTCAATGAAACCCAAAGAAACAAAAAAATAGAACTAGATTTAAAGCGTCTAAATTCACTCAAAATCGGCCCATTTCCGTTGAAAAATAATGTTTTTACAAAAGAAACGTCAATTTTCTATGCTTAGAAATAGTGAAAAACCACCGCGCCAAACGAGAAATCATCAAACTTTCGCTTTTTGCAAAAATCCAGTAAAATAAACAATTTCCTCACCTCCCTGTCGCACAATCTGGGCGGCAATTTCGTTGTGGGGCAGACCGGCGGCGGAGAAGATGGGGATCTTCTGCCCACGGGCGATGGAGTTCATGACGTCGATGGCCGAGATTCCGGTCTGGATCATCTCCTCGGGGTAGATACGGGACCACGGGTTGATCGGCTGGCCGTTGATGTCCAAGAAGTCCTCGGCAAGGACGGGCGGTCCCTAGAAACGTCAAATTTACGAGAAAACAGCGAATTTTGCGTTTTTTCATCTTCTAAAAACACAAAATTCGTTCTCAAAACCTCAGAAAGATGCTCACCTTGTCAATGGGCTTTCCGGATCCGTTGAAGATACGGCCCAACATGTCCTCCGAGACGGGCGTGCGCAAAATGTCGCCGGTGAACTCGCAGATGGTGTTCTTGGCGTCAATTCCGGACGTTCCCTCGAAGACCTAATTTTATGATGAAAATAAGAAACCAAAAAAACTCAAACCTGGACGACGGCCTTGTTGCGGGTGATCTCGAGCACCTGGCCGGAGCGCTTGGTGCCATCGGGGAGGGTGATGTTGACAATCTCGTTGAACTGGGGGAACTTGACGTCGTTGAGGATGACGAGCGGACCGTTCACACCAACCACGGTCTTGTAGACTAAAAAAATGGATGGTTTGAGGAAGGGAGAGGACGGGGATTGGAAAAATAAAGGGCTTTTCAAAACGTACTCAGACGCGGTTGAGTGTTGTAGTTGCGAATGGTGGCCGTCTTGTGGCCGGTGATGCCCTGGTTCACGTCCACTGCGGCCATTTTACCTGGAAAGTTGAGGGTAAAGCTGTTGTTTGAGAGATTGGGAAATATGAAAAAGCAGACAAGAAATGGCGCTCTTTTCGTTGTACAAAGGTGCGCAAAAAATGAGTTGAATCGGTCTAAAAACAAGTTTTCCGGCCTAGCTTTGCGCGTTCACCTTTTTGACCACTAAAATTTGGATTCAGGCTGTAAAAAGCAAATATAACAATCCTAAATACAAAGGAAACACGGAAACCATAAAGTTGAGTGATCTTTGACCGGAAATAGGTTCAATCGATCTACCAGAAAATCAAAAATCGGCTGACAAACTCTCTAGGCCTCTAAAGAAGCGGAAAATCCCTATTTCAAGTTCAGAGCCGGTTCAATTAAACATTACTACATATGGCAAATCACTAGAAAGCGGCTAAAAAGTAACTTGCCATCGTTTTTACCAAGAAAAAGAGCGATACCCTTTGTAAAAAAGCCAATTTTGTACGATCAAGTAGTTTCTGATGCCTAGTCGACTAGTCAACAGCTTCACAGTCCAAAACGTTTTTGGGTAGGGTAAAGTAACATTGAATCAACCCCAAATTTTCAAAAGAAATCGCGAGAACAGAAGAAAACGGCGGAAGATCCAGTCAAGGTCAGCATTCAGTAACAGAAAGCAGATGGTTTTCTACGCAATTTCAGCGAAATAATGCCACAAATGGTATTTTCAAGTTGTGAAACGTGAGCACTTCACAAACTCTAGGTTGGCCTGGCCGGGGGGAGAAGCGGATGGGACGAGAGAGTACCCCTCACTCGTTGATAGTTGGTCTTTATTCCCACGGCCGATCAATCATGGGCGCTTGCGTGCAGGGGAATCGCGGCGGGACCCCGGGTTGGGGCGAGAGTGGCTGGAAAGAGAAGAGAGACCAGAGAGAAACCAAACACTATTCCTGGCCGATCGGGACGATATTCAGCGATTCGGCATTGAATTGATTAGCTTTGTGATTTTTCGAAAATTAAGCTACTCTACACATATTTTTCCTGCGCAAGAAAAGTCGTAAATTTTAACGTAATAGATTTCAGCGATTTTTTAGCTTATTTCTGAGAAAATCGACCGGGTTACTGTCAAAGTTAGCATTTTCTTCTCGGAAAATGATTGAAAGAAACGAAATCAACGAATTAAATTGAAGCTATTAACTAACAAGGTTGTTCTGTAGCGATTTACTCGCCGAAACCTAACGAGATTTGTTTGCTTCGAATTTATCACTATTTTTTTGGAGGGTTTTCGTTAAAAAAATTAGGATAATTGGTGTAAAAAACGATTTTTCTATAAGGAACCGATTTTTCGAATGGCATCATAGCTTTCTCTGTGGAATTTCAGGCGCTAAAAGTCACAAAATGGTCTCATTTTTATGCAGAGAAACCTTTTAATGTTTGTTGTTTGTAGTTTGTAGTTTGTACTTGGTATATTTGCTGTAGCAAAATCTAAGTAATTTAAAGCTTTTATTGTCAACCATCTGGGCGCAAATCAATGATAATAATAAGGTTATAATGTCTATATACATTTCAAAAATACAGTTAATTAAAAATTATACAGAAAAAGTGAATTCCACAGCCCGCAACGTATTTGACTGCTGGACAATCAGAAAAAAAGATGGGTTACAGAGAGAAAACCCGGCTTAAAAGATTAAAATTACAAGGCCAATAATAAACAGAAAGTTTCCCGTTTTGCCGTCAAAAATCCATACAAACTGGGCGCGTGCGTACGGTAAATATGGCAACAAATAGAGTTGACAAAATTGGCAAATCGAATAATCCAATTTGGACTACAAGCTAAAAGATAAGGTGCTTTTTTTAGGACTTTCCTTGAAAATACTACAAAATATTCGCAATTTTTTATTTGTATTCTGTAGCCTTGCGAATTGCAGTTTTTAGCCTGTAGTCTATAGTCTACCCGGAATGTGTATCCGTGATGCCGAGTGCCTGCCGAATCCTTGCCAGACAAACTTTGGCTCCATCCCGGCATTCGGGGGACATTAGCGTGAAATTGAGGAATCCGTGCGGGACGTGTGGGAGCAGATCCAGGGATGCGACCTGGAAATTTAGTGCTATTCTCCAATTTAACATTTATTGAAACGTAGAAACTAAATAAATATATTTGTCAGGGTTTTTTCAGTCAAAAACCTCTCAAAATTGCTCCAAAAAGTAAAAAAAAATAAATTTTTCCCATTCCGAAAGTTACGGTATCTGCGAAAGTAATTTGTAATTCATTAAATATAGACATAAATTAGGTATAAATCTCTGGGAATTTTGTTATGAAAGCTCAAAAAAAAATCGTAAATTCGATTTTGAGCGGAAAATTGGATATTTTTGGCATTTAATTTTTTTGATAATAAAATTTAGCGATTGCTATTGTTAAAATAAACATATGATAATTACTTGTTTAAATCAGAACTGTTGTTTTTAGAATTTCGAGAGTTAAAAATAGGCGGTTTAGGAAACTTTAGCTTCAAAACTGAAATTGACTCACCTTTCCACCGGCCCTCTTCATCTTCTTGGCAAAAGCGATGGTATCGTCAAGAAGCGGATCCAAATGACAAGCGATCAAATGGATTGGTGGCAATTGTTTCACGATGGAATCATCGGCATACATCGGAGAAATTAAAGGATCCCGGGGAACGGCTGAGTTATTCAACAGTTCCAGGAGATGGGAACGGTGTTCTTCTTCTTCGGATTCCTGTAAAAACGTTATAAAAAATTCCAAAGTATTATATCGGTATTTTTTCCTTTTTTATGATTTGTCAATGTTTAGGAAATTTATGTTTTGACGTTTCAAAATTCGCGTAAGTTTTAATAGATTGATTCTGACTTGACTAAATCAATTTTTAAAGTTATAAAATAGGAAAAATCTGGATTTAATGAATAAAATTGAATACGTACCTGTGCAATTTCCTGCGATCCGGACGCCCGTTGCAGTTTTGCCTTTTGCGGCTTCTCGAACCATTCACTCAAATTATCGAAAGCATGGCCATAGGCGAGACTTGCTGTGTCAGCCAACGTTTGGGACAACGACCGTTTGTGCGACTGCAAAAGACCAAGTTTTACAAGTAGAAAATCGACAAATCCCCCAAAGATCTCCGCTAGTCTGGCTCTTCTGATCTATTTTTAGGCGGATTTAGCTGTCGCTGTTCTTTTAAAACATTGAAAAGGGTGCTAAATAATGGATTTCGTAAAGGTCATTCGCAAGGAATCACTGCTAGCCTGCCCAATAAGGAATGCTTTTTTCGACAACATTTTCTGCGGGTTTTTTTTTCTTTTAAATGCACTTACCAATGGCGGATTCCTTCCGGTCCCCAAATTGTTCGTCGACATTGAGTTGGGCATCGTTGTTTTTGTCGGCTTCTCAATAGTGACAGTAGTTGATTGTCCAATGAGATGTGACGAGGAAGATGTCGGAATTGCCGTCAAATCGGATGTCAATAGTTGTTGTGTCGCCTCTTCTGCCACCTCATCCACTTCCATCCCATTTTCTGACGGTTTTTCTCCGTTTTTCCAAATGACTTGGCTAAAAAATCAACAAATATTTTATTTATCGTCTTCTAAAGCATTACGTATAAAAATAGGATTCGTAACCTACTCTTTAGTGATCGGGTGACACTGTAGAAAATGCACAAAATTGTCGTCAAAAACGGAGGGGGAGATGTGGATGTGGAGAGGGTCGGAATCGATCTGAAAATTTGATTTATATAGATTTTCTTGGATTTTTGTATTTTTTAAAATGTCTAAGAATTGCAAAAATGGATTCCCTTGATGGACTAGCTCTAGACAGCCAGACAACGGACACGCCAAATGACACATCGAGATTGCATTCTTTTTTAGCCAAGTATGTTCCTCGTGCTATATAAATCTGAGGTAAATGCGTCATTTGGCGTATCGCGTATCTGTCCGGATCCAGTCGATGGAGCGAGTCGATTTTATGGCTTTCAAAGAGTCTAAAAACCTACCCTAACACTACTCAACGATCGATTATCCTCATCCTCCTCGCTCTCCTCTTCATCCGTTTTCGGCGATCTGGGCAGGGTTGGGCTCTGAAAAAATTACTTATAGAGTTTTAAGCCTAAAATTAAACTACCGTAATCTTAGAATTAAATTACAATGAACATTCCTTTAGAAAACATACGGTCTTGAAAAATGAGGTGCTTTCCGTTGACGTGATATCTGGCGAACTCGGTTGTGTTAAATTCACGAGAGAAACGATCGATTGAGAGCCACCCTGAAAATAAAAATTAGTACCGGATTTTCCATTTTTCTCGGACATAAAAGATTTTTTAATTATTTTCTAGAAGATACGGTAGAATAAATAACTCCATTTACCGTAAAATCAATTTTCTGCGTTTTCTGCACTTGTTCCACATATTCCTGCAGTGTTTTGTGGCCATTTTCTTCCGGTGGAGTGGCTCCTCCATTGTCTTTGTCACTTTTGAAGGTGTACGCGCCCGTATAGGCTAAAAAGTAGGAATACTACGTTCGTAAAAATGCAAAAATTACCAGCAACGCATCGCAAAACGACACCCATATGCAAAAGTGGGTCCATGACGCTCAACAAGCGAGAAGGGCTGGGGAGGTACTGAAAAAAAAGCGTTAAAATTAAACTCAACTCCCGAAAATCGACCCCTCATTTCGACTAGGTCTAGACAAATACGCGTGACGCCAAATGACTCATAAAGCCAATTTAATAACCCCCTTGTCAGTTCAGAATCTAGGAAAACGGAAGCGTCTTCACGCGTCATTTGGTGCATCACGTAGTCTTCTAGACCTAGTCGGTGAACGGGGCTGATTTTTTGGATTTATCGATCCTTTAAAGGGTATCGAAAGTCTCGTTTTTTTTCAGGATTAGCTGTAGAACCGTAAATAAAATGGTACCTGGAACAAAAAAGGCGTATAGCAAGGCACCAATCCATCGGGTCTTCTCTTCACATTCAATTGGATTAGGCGAAGATTGAGGGAAACAATCAGATTCCCGCCAGCACTATCACCAACCATAGCGATCCGCTCGCCGGTCCAGCCTAAAAAGCGATAAATTGTCGTTTAAGGCGGCGGCGCAAAAAATCATAACTAACACATAAAAAGCTCAATTTTTAGCTATTGGCCGATACGACGACATTTTAAACATACAGCGACAACCAAAAATTGATAAAACTGACCGAATAACTGTGGATTGTTGATGATCCAAGCATAGGCGTAGAGGACCTCCTCGGTTGGTCGAGGGAATGGATTCTCTGGCGCCAGTGAATATTCCACAGAGACGATCGTGCAATTCAGAAGTTTTGCCCACACTCGGAGGTACGTCTAAAAAACATCGGATTTTCAAGGTACTAGGAAGCTTGAGAATCGACCCCCACCCGACCTCTAGGTCTAGACAGCATCGTGATACTTCAAACGCCATTAAATTTAAATTTAAAGGGCCCGGGATGCGACAGAATCGTGCCCTCCCCGTCGGATACATCTCGACAAACACGAGGCAACTAAAATTAGGCGTGAAATTGCAAATTTCACACATTTTTGGCCGCTGTTTGGCGTGTAACGTAGCCAGGGACGTAGCGTAATACCGGCCCGCCCGCCCCCCCCGAAATCGGCCGGGGCCCGAAAATTTCATAAGGGGGGACCCTTCTGATTTTCATTTTCTCAAAAATTTTGCTGCCTGCGGCGCTATTTTTTTACGTTTTTACGGTGATTTGTAGAGCTATGCAACCTTTTTTCAAAAATTTTTGCCTGCGGCGCTGTTTTCTCGTTCATCTTTTCAGTTTTTTGGAAACATGTTTTGGCCCCCCGAAATTTTTGTTCTGGCTACGCCCCTGAACGTAGCTGTCTAGACCTAGTCGATGAAAGGGGTCGATTTTGGCTATTCCAAGTCTTTTTAAAGGCAAGTCAAAATCGTCGCATCAAAATATTTTTGATTAGCGAAAAGTTGTACCAACCTCGTGACTCTTGCTGCTCGTCGCCACAAACCCTCCGCCATGGCAGTGGAAGAGAAGGTGAGGGGATGGCGGCAGGGATCCGGAGGACGTCTGTAACTTTTCTTTTTTCTTTTTACACTAAAATTTAGAGAATTTAAGGTTTTCCATAGCAAAGAATGTATGGAAAAGAATTGAAAACACGACCACGGCACAATTACGACATGAAAATCCCTCAAGACCGACCAGCCCCTGGCGATTCAGATGAGACATGACGCGGATTTTGACGGGTCGAGTGCCAGTGTGAGCGGATGGCTCGGGGATTGTTACTGGCTCTGAAATATTGAAACTAGAATTAAATGTCATAATTGATACAATGGAAGCTTCGAATACAGTAATCCGTAACTACCGTACCTCCACTACAGGTTTCCAGCGTCAAGGGTCCTGTCGTCACGATATCCCTCAATTCATTCACAGCCATATTAGGTAGGAAAAACTTGGGCATGTTCTAAAAAGAAATAAATTATAATTGATGCTGAGTTGACTTACATTTCCAAGCTCCGACAGATTCCAGAATCCCTTGCAGAAGCCGATATCCGCTTCTTTGGTGACCTAAAAGCAGAGTTGAAATCATGTATAAGCGTGCAAAGCTTTTTGAGGAAATTCGACAAAATCCGAGGCAGACTAGCATAGAGCATTTGCGGATGACCGATGAATTTGATAAAGGCAAGCTAGCAGAGAGAATTGGAGATTTTTGGAGGATTTCTAGGCAAACAAGCAAAGATTATTCTGGAAAAAGATAATGAGTTATGATAAAAAAGTATGGGCAGGCAAGCAGAGAATCTTTGGGGAAATCAAGAGAGCCACTAGCAAGCTAGTAGGCATTATTTGGCAAGGGTAAACTAGCAGATTCTTTAAGGATGATCACGAAAATCCGGGAAAACTTGCAGAAATTTCTGGAGGATTGGAGGCAGGTTAGCTAGCAGAGCCTATTTGAAAATTAGCGGACGGGGCAGGCTAGCAGGGATCCTTTGAGAATTTCCCACAAACGCTTACCTTAATAATTCTTGCCGCCCTCTGCTCTGGTGATAGGAAAAATCGTCCAGAATTGATGAGAGACCCGATTGGGCCATGGCCTCTTTCCCATGATAATGAATAGGTGGCCAGGATGACGCCGATGAAACGGAAGATACGACTGCAGGTAGGGGAGAACTGAAACTTTTATTATGAAAAATTGTAATCTAAAGACGTACCTGAAATCCGATCGGTCGTCCATAAAAACAGCTCGAGTCGAGCTGTTCGACTCCACGCAACAACTCGTGCCATTTACCATAGTCGCCCTCCAGAGGTGGAAAAAGGAACCCGTCTGGCATTGCGGCTTCGGTTTCAAGCGTCTTAAAAACGTGCAAATTTTTTAAATCTGTAGCTTTCTCTCTCCCTCTCACGCTCTCTCTCACGCTCTCTCTCTCTCTCATCTCGTTCTCCCTGAAAAAACCCACCATTGGCAGTGCATTCAGGAGAAAGTGAACGACAGTGTTGTAGGCCTCAATTTCTTTGCAATAATGGGACAGTCGGAACATGATCGAATCTCTCATCTCGGAACAGACACGCAGCAGGGAGATCAAGTGGAGTACTGTAGTATCACAGATGCAGACCAGGGACCTGAAAATACCGAAAATAAGGCTCAAAATGTCTTTTCCTGTTTTTCTGGGTCTTTAGCTTTTTAAAAAAGTTTCTTAGGCGTATTTTTGCTTGCTAATTCTTTTAAAAGTTTCAAAATCAAGGGAAAATCCCAGTTTTCAAGAATTTTTAGACTTTTTGACATACCTAAAACCATTTCCCGGCACCTTCTCGTCGTAGTCAAATTTTGGTGCCAGCTCCTGAAGCTTCATCACTTGTTCTAAAACGAGGTTTTAGGTACGTTTAAGGTATCACGCGATACCTTTCAATTGAGGTGTACTCTGCTGGATATCAATACACCCAGCCACCAATCGCTGCTCGTATTTGCCGGCGGCTCCATGGGTCGTGAAGTGCTCTTCATTGTCGTTAGCTAACTGAAAATGGGTGGTTTAATAAGTTATCTACTATCTCAGGAAGTTTTTAATAATTTTTGATCGCAAAATTTATAAATAAAAATTTACACACCTTGTACAACAAATTATAGATGGCATCCCTTTCCACGGAAAGTCGAGCCGCCAACTTATGGGGGCGTTTCTGGGCATTTTTCGCCGTTCTCGGGCCACTTGTTGATGATGATGATGCTGCAGGGTCAAACATGCCGCATCCTGAAATCGGAGAACAATATAAAAAATGATTAAATATACATTGGGACCACTTAAAATATCCAATTTTCCAAAAGAATGCCAAAAAGCAATCTAAAAGCGATTTTCTTAAGAAGTTAGGATTTTCGTAAAGCCAATTTCTGGTTTTTGAAAATTTTGTTGGCTCTAAAAAGGTATTTTCGTTTTTTAAAACGTTTACTACCGTACCATCTATCGAATGACTAAATCCAAATTTCCGACGCGTGATTTGAATTTTACAGCGCATTTGTGAATACAGAAAAATCGTAGAAATGGAGAAAACTGGGGGGAGAGGGTTTATAAGCCGGCCCCGGGGAGGTGAGAAAAGTGCAAGCCACTTTTCCGGCTGAATCGGTTCTCCAGGGCGAGTATAATTCTGGGGGGGGGGAGAAACCCAATTTTCTTTCCCAAAAATAAAAATAATCACTATTTTTCACCCAATTTCGCATATTATTTTGCACTTTTTGAGGATTTTGGGGATTCTGTGCGTTTGTGAAATCGTGAAAATTCATAAAATCTACCGATTACGATAGGCAAAGCGAGCCTCAAATTTTGAATTTAGTTAAGAAATTGTTAATCAAAATTCTTAATTTGTTAGGAAATTTTTTAATGCACGTTTCGGTTGCAGAATATGAAAGAAAAATGAAGGAGCAGAAGTCGTAGATTGATTGGGGCAAAGGGCATTAAATTACGCCACATAATTCTTGGGTTCAAAGGGCATGTGTTGCCGCAGAAACTCGGAACTTTTATGGCAAAGGAGGACTCAAAAATAAAGTTTGTAGCGTAGCCTGAATTTTGGAGAGGCATAACAGAAATTAATAGGAACAAAATAAATAAGGGTATCTAACGATCAGGAAAACCAAGAAAGTGCGGGAAATCCGTGGCGAGGAAAGCGCAGCAATGTGCATAAAAGCAGGATAAGAGACTAAACTGTATTTTGTAGTTTTAAAGGGGAGCGCATCACGCGTAAACTGACAAAATCAATAATATGGAAACCATGGGGGCCGTGAAAAAAGGTAAAATTTAGAATCGAGGAGCCAATAACGGTCTTAACGGTAATTTCAGCCCAAATCCCTACTTTACGGGTATGCTACTTAAATTGAATGGTGTAAATTGACACGAATCGATCATATTAAAAGCATATAAGGTTGCAAGTTGACGAAAAAAAGAAAGGAAAACTCATTAAAACGGCAAAAACGCGGGCATTTTTTTGCAAAATCGTTAGAAAATGTAAACCGTACACGGTATGTAAAATCTGCGACCGCAAAGCTCTAAACTGGCAGGAATCGATACTACCAAAAGCTAAAAAAACAACACATCGGGTCAAAGTGCAAGAAGCTAAGCCTTGGTGGTGTGTTTCAACACTCCATCGGCGGCGGGCAGGCTCGTGGCATGGCATCTGCTTGGGCAGCCAGTACGTGTATGTCACAGAGAGAGGGGCAAAAGGCTGTGTGAATGAGTGGTTGTTTGTCTCCACATTTCTCTATTTCTCCGCCCTCTCATCTCTCTAACTGTATCACCCCTCTGGTATTCCCGCACTCTCTCGCTTTTCTACGTAGCCGAACACCCGACCGGGGGGGCGCCCGTAAAAAACCCAACCCCCCTGGCTACCAATGATGTAGATTGGATTCGAATGTACTTTTTGTGGCTTGTAGTTTAAAATTCTGAGTAGGGGAGTAGATTAATTGGGAGCCAGTCGGGTGATAAATTCGGAAATTACGACTTATTTTTCCGAGAAGTGAAATTTTAGCAATTTGAAAGCTAAAAACAGGGTAGAAAAGAATTTGTAGTTTGTAGTCTTAATCTTTTAACCGCGCTTATAAATTGGAAGACATTAGTACAATCTAAAAAATTAGAAAAATCACAGAATTTAAGGAGGTTTGCTTTGGCTATTCAACAATAATTTTTGCGATTTTGAAACCGCCTGAGGCTGGAAAACAAAAATTAATAGAAATTGTAGTTTTTCATCCAGGATTTTCACTGATTTTGTGAAATTGTCGTCCAGTTAAGGAAGTAACGGAAATATATCAAATTTAGAGGCTGTAAGAGGTTTTTAAGGTGGCAGAAAGTTTAGAATCCAGCAGTTTCGGGAGTTTTTGTAGTTTGTGGCCCGAGAAATATAGCTGAAGTGTTTTAATAAATTGAGTGAAAGCCAGAATACAAATACCAGACAGATATATGCAGAATAATTTGCCTAAAAACTTAGAGTAGCTCAAATGGGAAGATTATTCCCAGAAATGAAGAAAAAGCCTGCAAACCCATGTTGTTCTCAGAATTTTTCAGCGTCAGTGCAAGACAGTGAGAGAAAGAGAGAGACAGAGGGAGAGACAAATAGAAAGTACGCAAAAATCTATTTCTTTCTTTTCTTTGCGTTGTGGGCCCCAGAATGGGTGCAAATGGGCCAATCTCTCCACGCGCCACACCCCATTTTCGTCACGTTTCAAGCCTCCCAAAGGGGCCAAATGGCCAAAAAGGCCCAGCATTTCGGAAGAGCAATTAGTTGTTGAAAAATGGAATTTGGAGAACTCAGAATTTGCATGATTTGTAGCGTCTTTTGGTCGCTAAGGAACGTAGAAAAATGCTAAAAAGAAAGGTGGTGGGCGTTTGGATGACGCGGCATTCTTTTGGAAACGTGCTAAGCCAAAAATGCTCCGAATGTCTAAAAAAGGGGAACAACAAATAAATCAAATTTTTGCTAAAAAATACCATAGTATATAGTACAAAATTCATTCCGTATATATTGCATAATACAAACAGTTACAGGATGTTCTAGAAATCTACGGTAAATTTTACAAGAAATCAGAAAATACGGCTTTAAAGGAGCTAGAAAATGCTCGATTCGACCCCTACGATCGAATAGGTCTAGACAGCTACGGGATACTCCAACTTACGCGCGAATTTTGATTTTTACAACCTAGGAATTCCAAATATTAACAAAATAAAGCAATTAATTCGACGCGTTATTTGGCGTATTGCGTAGCTGTCTAGACCTACTCAATGGCAGGGGCAGATTCTGGCGCTTCCTAGCCCCTATAAACTAAAAAAACGAGGGCATCGATTCTAAAGCTTGAAAGGGCCTTTACTAGGTCAAAAACCGACGAGAGTTCCGGGCTCAATTTTCTTGGACGACCCGAATTTTTGTGTGGTTTGAGGGTCAAGTCCCTCTCTTTTTTTGTTGGGAGTTCTGTGAGGATAGAATGGGAATGGAAAGGAGGGATGGATTCTCGTGTTTTGAGGGAAAGAGTGAGGGAAAAGAGGTCAACGCATAGTTGTCCTCTCTCTCTCTCTCTCTCTCTCTCTCTCTCTCTCTCTCTTCCCTTACTGACCAACCCTCATTTCGGGGCGGAAACGCGTTAGAGGGGGGAGTGGATTTTTGAGCGTTTCGAAGTTGTCTAAACAACTGGTTCAAGGAGGTGTTGGGGGTTTTTGTATGTCACTCTTCCTTTAGAAGCTGTTGACACTTGATGTGTCAATTTTTCTAGCTGTCACCATCCCTTTAAAAGCCGTCAATTCTTTGGAAGGCTTCGCGAAATCTGAGAAATCCGGCTAACTGTCACACTCCCTTTAAAACACTCGGAAAATTGCCAATTTTCTTAACTGTCACACTCCCTTTAAAACTCGTAAACTAACCCTCATTTTCCGCAGGTTCTGGAGGACGCCGAAAACACGTCAAACAGCTCGCCATCACAATATTTTAGGTTCCAAACCCAGCCAGAATAAAATAGAGTTGTCAATTGGATCGCTGCGAAGGTTGAAGTCCAAGTGAAATCCGTTTCAGCCCCTGGCAGGTGAGATAAGACATAATAGAGAGCGGCTGATTACAACACCCCTTTTCTGCGCTCCTTTTTTGACAGCTATAAAAGGAAGGACATGGGATCGTTCGTAGGTATGATCTGTGCCCTAGCAGAAAACAGTGGTCAATGATGTGACTTTTGCAGGAAAAACAGGGCAAAGGGCGGGCTAGTATAGTAAATTTGAGAAAGGAAGCTAGCAGACGTCTTGAGGATTGAAAAGTAACAAAGAATCCTATGGATTTAAATGCCAGCGTGGATTCTTTGGGAACGGTAGCTAGCAAAGATTTTCAAAGAATTTAAGGATAGCAGAGATTCTCAAGGAATCGAAAGCTGGCAAGGATTTTTAAGGGACAAAAGCTAGTAGAGATTCTTAGGGAATCGACTAGAAGGGAATATTTGGGAAAGGCAGGCAAGCGGAGTTTCTTTGGAATGGAATGCCGGCAGAGATTGTTAGGGATGGAAAGCCAGTAGAGGAAATCTGGGAAAAGAAACAAGCAGACATTCTGATGGAATGAACGTACTTGCAGAAAGATCCGGAAAATGAGGGAATCCTTTAAAATCGGGCTCAGATTGAGGTATGAGTGCGTAAAGATGGGCCCTAAAAGTGGATGGAGAGTGGGTGAGGATACATTTTTGATGATTTCTTTGAATTTGGATGGGAACGGAGGGGAGAGAGAGCGAGAGAAAGAGAGAGCGAGAGAGAGAGAGAGAGAGACTGAGAGAAAGAGAGAGAGAGAGAGAGAGAGAGAGAGAGAGAAAGAGGGAGTGGAACTCTACTTTACCGAGGCCCACTTGGCCGCTTTTAAAGGCCCCATGCAGTGCGACAATCGACCCCGTCTGAGCACTACGTCTAGACAGCCACGTGCCAGTTAATTACGGGAGCCACTAAAAAACAGCACACGTCATTCGGGCGTGGGGCAGTTGTCTAGGCCTAGCAGCTAAAGAGGGGTCGATGGACTCCTTCAAAACCGGAATTTTTGTAAATTGAAAAAATTACCTAGCAGCCGTATCTTGATTTTTGCAACATTTTTGGTGGTCGACTTCATTTTAGGATAGGAATTTGATAAATTACAACGGTTCAGAGGCGGAAGGATGGATGATTGCGGAAGTGTCTGGCTTGGAGAAGAAGAAGAAGAAGGAAGGCGAGAAAGGAAGGGAGGAGGAAAGAATGGTGAGTATAAAC